ATTTGCTTTACAAGGTAGGAAGTGAGTGGCACAGCTGCCACTGTTGGGAGGGTGTGGAAGGTGGCACTGAGGACACAGGCAGATGCTGCCTGGGAAGCCCAGGGCAGAGGCCTGTGGAGCAAAGTTTCCACCCCACAGAGGCAGCCCCATGGCCTGTCCTTGGGGCAGTGGGTGAGGAGGAGGTTTCCTTACCTTGGCACAATGCACTAGTCCCAGCTCGGAGCTGCCAGCAACAGCTACAGCTTGGGGTGAGAGAAGAAAAGCAGAAACATCTGCTACCCCAGATGAGCCAACTTGGCAAAACCTCTAAGGCCTTAAACATTGGTTTCACAGGCAGAAGACTATATTTGCAGTATGTAAATGTTTCTAAAATCATTTATTGGCTTGAAAATAAAGACATTTCCTCCCACAGCAGATTTGTAACCAAGTTATCCTGGTACAACTAACAAGTGGGAGCATGCCAGGTTACAGTGCATCTAGGAATGTGTAGGGAGATGTGATGCCACCAGTATCCCTGCCAGGACAGGTCAGAGTCTCCAGAGAGGCTGCTGCAGTCCCAGGACACCCCAAAGTGCTGGAGGCAAAGCAGGCAGGTACTTAATTTCAAGCTGCTGTGGAGTGCACCAGCATTTGGGAGAGACCTATGCAGCACATTACTGCCCAAGCTGCACCTCAACATCCCACACCTTCCCACTTGAGCTGCTGGTGAAACACTCAGGGCCTTTGCTACCTGCCCAAACCCTGGGCGTGCTGATAGCTGTCCTGAAGGGAACAAAACCTTCCACAGATGAAGAATGGAGGCAGTGAGAAATCAAGGCTCCTGAACTCCTGCAAATGTTGAGGAACCATGGAACACGGACACATTTGGGCAGCCCAGTCAACACCTTCTGGTATATGACATAAAAGAGAACTCTGTGGGGAAAAAAACCCGAGCAAAAAAGAGGGAGAGACCAACCCAAGGAATGAAACTTTGACCTCCACACAGTGCCTGAACTAGACATTAAGCCAGTCCTTGCTTTCTGCTCTCTCCCACCCATCACTGCTGCACTACTGATGCCTCTCCAGGAGAGGCCTGAAAGCCTATGCATTAGCCCTGCAGTTTCAGAACAAATTCAATCATTCCCACTAGTTTGGCATGCTTGAGGCTGGAAACTCAAGTCACATCAAGAAGAAAATATTTGCTTGTTTTATTTGGCAAGAGAGAATTAATCCTCTAATACAAAGTGTATTTCCTGTTGAGGAGCTACTGGCTTTTAACACATACACTTCATGTGCTTCACTCCTGCCAGATTTCCAAAAGAAATACAGTAGAATAAATACCTGCCAGGAAAGGGAATAAGACAACAGCATAAAATATGTCTCCTATGACCCTGTTTCTTACTAATTACTGCAAACATGATGCTTTGAACAAGGACAGCAAGTGTATACTGTCAAAGCAACAGAGATCCAATGGTGCTTAGCTTGGTTTAGACTCTTTTCTTGTGATTTGCCATTCCAGAGTGGGAGGAATAAGCCTTTCCATTTTGGCCATTGGATTAGCTGCTGAAAAACCCCTGGAGCTGGTCACGGTGTTGGGCTAACAACAGTGCTGCATTCTGCAGACACCATAAACAGGCTGTGCACACACCATGGGATGTGCTTGTCTCCAAGCTGGCTGTTTACAGCCAGCATGACACACTTCTGTTTTCCAACCCAGAGATATTAATAGTGCTGTGTATTTTGGTGCAAATTGCACCCAAACACCCCTCGCTGTGGCAGTAACCCACAGGACAGACAGCCAAGCCAGATGGAGGGTACCAAGGCCAGCACTGCACAGCACTCCCTGAGGCACAGCTCTCTGCAGTCCTGCTGTACTCAACAGTGGGGTAACAGTGCTGAACCATGCCACAAATCGCTGGGTTTAAGTTGCTGCCTCATCCCAGCTCTGAGGAAAACAGCACTTTATGCCTCCCTGAAGCCTTTCAGTCCTTGAAAGGATTATATCCAACAATGATGCCTGTCAACATGGCCTTAGTATCACCTTCAAATGAAAGCCTGGACTACAGCTTGGGCTTCACTGCACAACCTGTGATGAGCACCCAGCCTCTGGGAAGCTGCTGTCAACTCTTGCCTTCAAACTGCTTCCCAAACCCTCCTCCTCCTCAGGGCCTGCAATCAGACAGAGGCACTGGGGCCGAGCCCTGGGCTGGGAATGCTGACCACCCTCAGCAGAGCAATAGGAGGATCACAGGGACCAAGATCTGACTGCTGGGGAAGCCCAGCAGTGTGCTGAGCCTCATCACCAGCACAGGCAGGAACCCAGACCCAACAGCACAGTCCCCTGAAAGCACAAACACAACAGTGAAGTGAGTCACACAGCACAGAAAAGGGGGTGATTTTAGCAGTGTTTTTGAAAAGATGGCTTGTGATGAGAGGGTCCTGTTCTAAATAAAAGAAATCCAGAAGATGAGCATCCCACCTTCCCCTGAAAAAGCACTAAGAGCTCTCACACACACATTCAGGACTTTTTCCAAAGCCTGGAAGCAAAGGCAGAGAAGGGAGATTAGCTCTCCCTTACCTGCTCTTTGTAACTTTGGGGAGAAGGATAAAAGCCTGTTAAAAGCTGCCTTTCAGCCCACCCCAGGGACAGGAGGTCTCAGAGGGAGCCCAAGGGACCCCACATGGCCTCTCAATTACAGGAGGAGAGTCCACCCCAACCATGCAGCTTCCAGACACATCAGGACAAAACACAGCATGGAGGGGACTGACACCTCCTCCTGCCACTGTTGCTGACTCTAACTCACCTCATTCCCCTACAAGGTTTGCAGTGTTCCCCATAGCTGAGCCAGCCTTGAGGGTCTCTGCCACCAAATTCCACCCTGACCCAAGCCCCTTTGCTGCCAAGGACAACTAGGAAAAGTTTCCAGTCTTGCCCCTCACATTCAACAAGTTCCACACCTCTGCTCCCATAATCCCATCACTTTTTCCTCTACCCAATCCTCCACCAAGGTTCCTTTTACGTCTGTCTTCACACCTCATTCCTCCACCCCTGTACAGCTACAGCCTCTCTAGCTTTGCCCAGCTATGCCTTGGCTCTCCAAACGCTCAAATTCATCTTCAAAATGTCTTTTCCTTACAGTGTTTCAGCAGCAACCCAACCCTCCCTTTCCTCCTCTGTTGAAACCAGAGCAAACTGGCTCATTATGAGACCAGGCATCAATCCATCGGGCACAAGGGCCCATCAGAAACTTAATAATGAGCTCCATGACAAGAAATGATGACTGCATGGCACAAGTGCTTATTAAACAATGCAATCAGCGTTGATGAGAGCAGAAAATAAATACTGTTTTATATAACAGATGCTCTAGATTCTAGACAGATGCAGCCACTTGCTACCCCAAGGGACACATCCCATGCCAGGTCCAGTAGCCAGGCAGTCTCTGGCAATGGACAGGCCTCACATGTGTTGGGCATTAGTCACATCACACCTATGAACCCACCAGCTCCTGGCTGAATGCTGCTTTCATTTTCCTTCCCCTTCACAGCTGCAGTGCCATCCTGTACCTAAGCCCCTGCTCCCTTCTGCCCAGCCAAGACAGTGAGAAGAGAAGAACTCCTGTTTTTCTCCACCACACAGGGAAGGCAGAAGACACTGCAATTCCTTTCCAGCAGAGGAGGATGAGGGGGTAGACATTACCCTCTCTCCACCTTCTTATTGGGGTGAGACCCCACTCATCAAACCAATTCTCAGCCTTCTCATTCACTCCAGATCATCCTGGCTGTGCCCTAGGAGGGAAGCTTTATCCACACTGGCTTACTCCAAGTGCACCTCTACCTACAGCATCCTCACACCCTGAAGGGAACAGAGTCCCCCTGAAAACTCAGGCCACGGTGACCCTGCTGCTGCCTCTTGTGTCTCTCAAGTGCCCTTCGCCCCCCGAGGTAACGTGGCAGGCAGGCACACAGGCAAGCACCAATGCTGACGCTGGCAATGAGTCATCCAGAGCTGCACTGGCTTCTGCCTGGCACGGAAAAAATCCCTAACCAAGAGCCACACTCAGGCTGCAAACAAGCCTGAATACTGCCTGGCCACCAGTCCCACACAGTTCTCTCTCTTCTGGCTCCACAGAGGAGTGTGTGCAACACAAACCTGTCTGTGAGTATCCCCCCACTTTTGATTAAGTACCACCACATCACTCACAGGAAAGGGCAGGAAGAACTGGAGCCCTGAACACACATCACCCAGGAAATGACTCGATGGGGGAAGGATCCAGAGTGTTCACTCCTTTCTTCTTGCCCCAGTACAGCCAGTAATCCTCCTCCAGCCGTAATGGTTTCCTGTTTTCCAGCTGCTTTGACCCCACTGAGTCACTGCTCATCTCCAGGTCACCTGAATCAGGATTTTATCTGGAGAAGACGAGGGCAGAGGACCAGCTGCTGCCCAAAAACCACGGTCCTGGTGTGTTCCTGACCACTTGCTGTCTTGAAACATTGAGGAGCTCATTACAGGATGAAGAAAAGAAGACACAAACCAATAAAAATGGTGCTAGTAAAGGTTAAAATCCAGGGTTAATGCTCTAGAACAAGAGCCTCACAAAAGCAGGGGACAGGTCACCACCAGTAAAGGCTTCAGAAACCCCACTAAGGTACTGTGAAATAATCTCAGCCCTTTGCCTCTACGCACAGTTTGGTAGCTTGTATCAAATCTGAGATTTCCCTCAGCTGTGGACACGTGGGGTAGGACATGGCAGTTAGAAGAAAGCAGGCACAAGGAATGTTCATGTTAAGAGCTACATAGAAATACTCTGGTAAAACAGCAGCAGTGGCTCAAAGTGCCAGAATAAATTACCATCTGTGTGACACTGAGGGACAACAACTTACTGCCTGATCTTGTCATTCCTGGGTCCAAACCTGGGTCCAGAAGGCCCTCTCCTGCAGGCACAAAAGAGAGCCATCAGCATGGGAGAGAATGAAAACATGTTTTTAAACCAGACTCCAAAGACACACAACACACAACCAACGCCTTGTGGATGGAGGATTGTTTTCATACCTCTCATCAGTCCCTCCCATGTCTTAGGATATGTGGGACATCCCACTCTTACATAGGGTCACACCTATGAAGCCTTAATTCATACTCAGGGTGCCAAGGCTCTGGGAGATCAGTCCAAAGGAATCAAAGGTTTTGATTCCCAAGCCCCCACCCATGTGGCAGGGAGCAGACCCCTCCAGTCTAAGAGCTGCAGACAGGTAGGACATTGCATTCCCTACAGCAGCTGCTCAGAAACTCACAAGAAAAAATCTTCCTCTTCATCCGAGTCTTCCTCCAACAGGTTCCTCTGCAAACAGAAAAATCCAAACCGTCTGGGTCAATAAGCAGCACCATTTCACACACACGTTTCAAGCTCTTAGGACACAAGCAGCATCCTCTGACTGCAGGTTACACATGAGCTCTCCTTTGGAGAGGACTGATGGCACTGTTTAGGTGTTGGGTCACACTGTTCCTCCCCATGTGTGAGCAAGGGCTGAGCTGGACATCTCTGTGCCACCTCAGTGGTGTTTGCTGACCCTGCAGAGCACACAGCAACACATGGCTCTGACTTGGGACAACTTGCACCTCTGCCATGGTGCAAACTGGAGTTGTATCAATAGCCACTTGCTTGAACAGGTGGAGATCCCAATCCTAGAAGCACAGAAGCACGGTGAGCCCTGCCATGGGGAGCAGGAGAGTCCCTGCACAGCCCAGCTGTGGAAGAAGAGCTCTCTCTGCTCAAGGGACACTGCACTCAGTCAACAGCAGCTGCTCAAAAAACATCAGCATCACCTACAGCCACCCTGGGCTATCCCATCCATGTGGAAGTCAGATCCACTCCCGATTTGGAGGATGTGGTTTCTCCAGCCATCTGATGGCTCTAAGATGTGAGGATGAGTCCAAGGCAACGTGCTGGGCTTTCTGCATGGCACATCCAGACGGATCAGCCCCTCCAAACCCCTGACTCAGGTGAAGGCTGGAGAGCTGAGCAGTCTGGTAGCTCCTCTGCTTTGCCCCAAAGGGCTCCCCTGGGCTCAGATCTGCTGTTCCACAGCACCCCATGAGGTGATCCAAAGGCTGATTCTTTTAGAGCAATCCCACCTCAGCCTGAAAGTTTGGACTAAGACATTACTAGAGCTCATATCAGAGCAGCACAGGTTTTCCAGTCGAGCTGAGGGCTCCCTGTAACATCTGCCTAGGGCCAAAGACAATCAAGAGGGATAAAGGGCACACTGAAGGTGTTGGTCCAGGAACACATCAGATGGTCCCCAAGATACCAATAGTTGCTACTTCCCCTGTGCATACTTTGGGCTCCCACTTGCAAGCTCAATGCTCTTACTTTGAAGCTCACCTACATTCCCATCCTTGTCACATTTGCTCAATCAACTTAAGCAACCTGTGAGTCCATGCAATAGCTCCAGCCATTGCTTCCCTCGAGGGAGCTTGGCAGCACAGGATCCTCGACTCACTGACAGCTATCATGAGCTGCAGCAGCATTTCAAACCACAGCCTAAACTCAGTTTTAGCACAGCCTGACCCCAGGACAAACACATCACCTTAAATCCGTTTTGTCCAACACAGGCAACTGCACCACTGTGACCTGTATTCAAAGCCTGAAACGTCAGGGGCCTTGGCGAGAGGAGAAAAGTTCAGCTGTAAAACACAGGGCGACTTCACACGAGTCCTTTGGCGAGCAGCGTGGAGAGGAGAGCTGGGACATGGGTGGGAGAGCTGGGAAGGTCAGGAGGCTGCAGCACACAGGGATCTCAGGGCGCTCGGTGCAGACTAAGGAATTCCAACAGGTTCTCAGGACAGCTGTATCTCCTAACGGGGCTGGTTTTAAACGCACGGATCAGATCTGCGGCTCGGGCAG